TCACGATACTCGGAATCTAGAGAGGAATATCAAAAAGACAAAGAGCAAGCTCTTATTGATAAAGACTGCATATACTTTTCTGTAGATCTACTGAAAGTCATAATGTTGCCGCGAATGGATTAATTTATAACTGCGATATTTTGTCCTCGTATCATTACATTTAATGAAAGTTTCGTTCCACTTGGAGGTAGTACAAATGTTCCTTATGCGGTGCTTTGTAACGAAACTGTATCTGGTAAAAGCCAAGAAGATATCATTTCTGCATTCAGGGCGTTTTTTATTCATAAACGCGGCATGACACACGTTGATTTATGGGCCGACAATTGCGCGGCCCAAAACAAACATTGGGCGTTTATGTGTGTTCTGGTAAACATGGTTAATAGTCAGCTGATTGCTGCTGAATCAATTACCATAAAATATTTTGAACCAGACCATGCCGGCTGATAACTTCCATCATCAGGTTGAAATGGCATTAAAAAAGAAAAAGAAAGTTTATGATTTTGATGATTTTGTAGGTTCTGTAAAAACAGCCAATTCAAAAAGAAGCATAGTAAAAGTGATGGCAGCATCCGATTTTTATAATTATGAGGATGTGTCGGTAACGAAAGAAGTATACAGAGCGGATATGAATGGGGCCGTCGGTAAAGAGCGCCCTAGACGGACATATAGTGACCGGATTGGCGATATATTAAAGAAGAGCCAAATTAAAAGGGAAGCCCGGGCACAAATGACAACCTCGAACAATGTACAACACCTTTACTTGATCTAATTTTGAAACAAGGACCGTTAGAAGCTCCCGCAGCAAACCTTACACCATTGCAGATCAGACCAACAATGGCTGCTCCCAAAACAAATCGCAAAAATAAGAGGCAAAAATCGGAGATATTAACATCCACTCCAGTCAAAGCTGCTAAATATATAAAAGTAAATAAAAAGAAGACCAATATATCTGAATTAGCAGGTTCCGGCAAAATTATAAAGAATAAGATAAAGAAGACTGAATTACCAGGTCACAGCCAAACTAAAAGGACAAAGACATCTTCCAAAGCTAAAAATAAGATGATTTATTTTGTTTGGTGTGTGCCGAGAAATACACTGAACCGCTTTTTGAAGACTGGATTCAGTGTAGCCAGTACCGAAATTGGGCACACGAAAATTGTACATCACACGCAGGTGTAGGAAGCTACTTTTGCGATGAATGCGACGACAGTTTTTTTTTTTATTTTAATAAAACGTTGCCCCACACTAGGATTATCTCCTGTGTCGTGGGTGCGTTTACAAACATACAAGTTCACATACACATGACACCCAGACTCGGAACAACAATTTGTGGATCACACAAAGTGTTGTTCCGTGCGGGAATCGAACCCGCGACACGTTGCACGGCAGCCGGTTGCCCAGCCACCGCACCAACCGTGCAGTCATTTATTTGAGATTGTTTTATTTATTAGTTATTCTTTTTGCCCTGTATTCATTTGGAGTTCAGAGTGTCAAATATCATTCGAAAATTTAAAAGAAAGTTTAATATCTTCTCCTTTACTTCAATGTCCAAATTTTTCGTCAGAAAATCAATTTATTTTACAAACAGACGCTTCAGGTTTTGCTATTGGGGCAATTTTGTCAAATAACGATGGAAAACCTGTTGCATACGCAAGTAGGTGCCTCAATAAGGCAGAAATTAATTATACCACGATTGAAAAGGAGTTAGGTACTTGCCATTATGTGGTCAATAAAACACTTTCGACCTTATTTGTATGGACGAAAGTTTATTATTCGGACTGACCATAAACCACTAATATTTTTATTCAACATGAAAGATCCATCTAGCAGGTTGCTAAAGTTTAGAATTCAGATTGAGGAGTACGATTTTGTGGTAGAATATGTGAAAGGATCTGATAACGCGGCTGCAGACGCATTATCAAGGTAAGAATGACATGCCAGGAACTGAAAGATATGAACGAAAATGTGATGTGAATGAATGTGATGACACGAGCGCAAAGTAAAAAATTGAATCGAGATACTTTACCTACTATGGGTTCCAATGACAATAATTGGTCTGATCAGCCAAGAGTTGTTGAGACACATAGTAAGCCGAAAGAATCTGTAGAGTTGAGATACATTTCACAGAATGACTTAAATAATTAATATAAAAAAGAGCAAATTAGTGAATCTAGCAATGTATTTTCATATTCGCCCAAAAATTTGACAATTTATATAAATCCAACTTCCCGATCACAATTATCACTAAGTGAATTTGTGAGAGAGTTGGAAATGTTTTGTATAAATATAAATATAGATGAAATATACTTAACAAAAGATAAGAGATCTTCATTGTTTATTAGAAAGGTTGTCAACGAAATAAGTAAAAATAAACAGTGGTCCGGACCACGAATTTGTGTATTGAAAGATGTAGAAAGAGTTAATGATGTAAATGAGAGACGAGTCATACTTAACGACTTTCATTTGTTACCTACGAGTGGCCACGCAGGTATCAAACGAATGTATAATAATATCAAAAGGCATTATTTTTGGTCAGGACTCGAAAAGGATGTTTATAAGTTTGTAAAAAATTGCGATCAGTGTCAGAAACAAAAACATTCGATTCATGTAAAAGAACCAATGAGCGTTACGTCCACCGCGAACACAGCTTTTGAGAAAATATACCTATATATTGTAGGACCATTAGATAAAGACATGTTTGATAATACTTACATTTTGACTATTCAGTGTGAGTTATCAAAATATGTAGAAGCTTACCCGTTACGCAATAAAAATAGCGTAGAAGTAGCTAGATCTTTTGTAAACAATTTTATATTAAAACATGGTATCCCACGCGTAATAGCAACCGATCGGGGTACGAAATTTATGTCTACTACATTCAAAGAAGTGTGTAGTTTATTACATATTGAGAAGTTGAATTCCACTTCATATCACCATCAAACAATTGGAGGATTAGAAAACACACACAAACACTTAGGAGCATACTTACGAATCCAAACGGGAAATAAACCAGAGACATGGAGTAGTTGTTTACCATTTTGGACATTTTCAGTTAATACATCAGTTCACAGTGAAACAAATTACACACCTTTCGAACTGGTATACGGTAAAAAGTGCACTTTACCCAGTAACCCTACGAGAGAGATAGAGCCCATTTACAATTTTGATAATTACCCTTTAGAATTAAAGTTTAGACTGCAAAAATCTCAAAGCGATGCTCGTAATTATTTGATAAAAAGTAAATTGAAACGTTAGGATAATTATGATAAAGCCATGAATCCGATTACATACATACAAAGAAAATGATTTAGTTTTATTAAAAAATGAGAGTGGTAATAAATTTACGCCAGTGTATTCAGGTCCTTATATTGTTATTAAAGATGTATCTCCGAATGTACAAATTTAAAAAAATGGAAAATTTGATATTGTGCATAAAAACAGAACGAAACTATACCATAAAAAAATTGTTATACGTAACATTGTTATATTATCTTTGTAATCTATGTTTAAGGAAATATACATATATGTTTTAATTTTTAAGTTAGTGTAAAGAGTGGGTAAAACATAACTTTGCATGTTTTTAAAAATAAGTTCTAATATCTTAATTGTTAAGGATATAATAAAGAAATTATGTTATAAAAATCCGTGTCTTGGCTACGATTCAGTAATCTCTTTGGAGAAACTGAAGGATTTGTCTGTGCAATTATGGACGAAGTTATCCTTACGAATAACTACCGGAAATATATAATTAAGGATGGGACGGTTGACATATGTCGGGCATGTCATAGTCCTGGTGAATCCATTAGACATATTATTTCTGGTTGTGGTCGTTTGGCTAACAGTGAATATTTGCATAGGCATAATCAAGTAGCCAAGATTATCCATCAGCAACTTGCTTT